TGGCTAGGGATCTAGACATGGGGTACGTCGTCACGGGGGGGATGTTAGGCCCCAGTTAGGGTTTGGGTTAGATCTTTCCTTAGGCCCGCGACTTACTTTGTCGGGCGGATGACTAGGGCGTATTGGCGGTGGCGGGCACACCGCCGCTTCTGTCTTAGCACTCCATCGTATGTACCGGCCTGTGGAGTGACACCCGGACGATCCCTGACAATGTCAATGCACGATATCCCTCCCCCCCCCCCCCCCCCCCCCCCCCCCCCCCCCCCCCCNTGCCACCCCGCCCCTCTCGAGGGCACGTGGTCAATGGCCTAACGGCTAGGGCATGCAATGCTTGAGTACCTCTATCTCTTTTCCCTCTGGGGTTCACCTGACGGGTGTTCGAGGTATGTAGCGGGCCGGCGTACATCTACGTGCTGATCGAGGCACTGGCGGACGGTGGCGTCCGGATGGCCTTGCCGAGAGCGATGACGATCAAGCTCGCGGTGCAGACGGTCAAGGGTGCCGCGGAGATGGTTCTAGAGACGGGAGAACACCCGGGTGGATCAAACAAAGTCAGTTGTCTGGACTCGTTGGACCGCAGAATAGAACGGTTGCCTGTTTCGTCGCCGGTTTTTGAAAGTATTTTCCTTCACGCAGACGTTCCACGATGCTGATGGCACGTGGTTTGTAGCGCAGGTCTTTTTAAGTCACGTTCGTTGCTCGAGGATATTTTTCTGCCGTTGTGTTGTTCCCATGACCCCTCCCTATTGAGGTTATGTCTTCGGATGCCTCTCTCTCGCGGTGCTGGCGTGGTATTACGCTATGGTTTTGTGGGTTTCGAGCAATGGTCATATCCCGTACAAAATTTGACGGAGATCATCGTAGTACCACTCTATCAGAGCAATGACATATATTGCCCAACCCTCACGACAAGTCCAGTTTCTTGCTGGCTATAGACGTTTGCAGCCGGTGATGTTTGTCAGGGGTACCAACATGCTGTCAACTCTTATCCGCTTTCTTTACCGCTAACCCCTTCGGTTAGCGTGCCATGTTGAAACTCTATTCCATTGGATTGCGCGCCTGAGGCTCGTCCGCTCTCCGTCTGTTCGTTTCTTTTTGATGTCGGGATGTCCGGCGGCGTGCTTGGCGTGTCCATTTTTCACATGCCTTTTTCCTCTTCAACGGTAGCTCCTCATGCGATATGACCGTGTTGTGTTTTTTTACGGGATAGCTCGCGCTTTCATTTCCAAACCGCGGCCCCTGTAGAAGCAGTGGGTACCTCAATGATTCTGCGCACGAGGGATATCTCGTGGATGATCCCTCTCCGCGGGCGGCTACGTCGTGATGAATCGCCTTCGATCTCCTTTCCGCTGGATTCATTCGTCGATCGATCTCGTCAAACGTACGCCCTTTGGTTTGTGTTCCGTCGCCTATGCTTCACCTTTCCTCCGTATGTCGTGATAGTGAAGCTGTTCCGAAGGACAATCGTTGTGTGTCTCGTCTCTTTTTCTACCCCTCTACCTCTTGTGTCAAGATTGTGAAGCTATATTGAAGGAGAACGTGTGCAGCCCAGGGGGGCTGACAATCGCGGACATCGCGTCTTTCGAGAATAACGACTTTCGATCCACAGCGGTGCAGGCCGTTATCGCGGTCGCGTCCAAGCCGATTGAGATGCGCAACGCCAAGGAAGAGAAACAAATGAAATAGAACAAGTGACAATAGTTCTTCGGAGCGCGCTCTTCTGCAACATGGGAGTATGAAACGGTTTTGGGGGAACGACATTGCACGGAGTGTGGGCTAACGAAGAAAAAGAAGAGCAGACGGACGTGAGGAGGTTGGTGGGAAGGATTGGCGAAGTATTAGTCAATGATGGAGTGGAATCAGGATGTTGACACCATCGTCGTACGCATGAAGACAGTGACGGCCTCGACCGTTGTATGGATCGTCATTGGTTTCTCTTGAAAATTGCGCCATTCACTTTCGTGTAGGGTAGTATGACTTTGCGTGTTTCCTGTTTGATGAGGGCGTCACTTGTTCATGTAATAGCAATAGCAGATCGACGAGTTCCTGAACAACGCATCTGTACCTTCGACACACATAACGTGGTGAAAACCAGAGTGGTGTTTTTTGCCCCGCTTGTTTATTGCTGCCTACCGCTGTAACTGAATACATCGTTGCTTATGAAATATGACCAAGATCTGCCTCCGCGATAAAACCAAGACGCTGTTTTCATAGAACACCCTGGTGCTGTGTGAATAGAGCCGGCCAGTTGAGCGTTGACCACTCGTCGATTGTGAGACAGAGCATATCTCAGTACTGATAAAATTGAAACAGTAATCGCCCAACGATGTCCGGCGTTCTTGATGCTTCAGCCGACATAGCTTACAGAGAACCCTTCAAACGGCTGGCAGTAACTTTTCCTTCGCTGTCCCAATCGAACTCCGTCTCTCCTTCTTCAACCTACCGCAAGGCGTTGCCTTTCCAACCAAGATATCGGGTCCAGGGTATCTCACCCAAGAACTACCCTGCGGTACCGCCCTAAAGCAGGCCAGTCCGCAGAAAATGGATGTCTTCAAATAAAAACCCGTTCTAGTCTCTGCTATGTACCTATTTACGCCCGTACCGGTGCCACTGACGCCGAAGCTTCCTCCCCGTGGTCACAGGCCAACTACGGTGGGGGCCCGGGTTCAGCGACCCCCTGATAAGCGACCCCAAAATCTCGTGACACCGCTGCACCCCGGTTTAGCGACCATGCGGTCGCTAAACCGGTCGAACCCTCAATAGCGACTTATCGGGCTGTTTTCAGCGGGAAACAGCGACCGTCGGTTCAAATTTTGCGAGGACCCGCGTTCCTCCACACACGAAGACACAAGACGGTGGGACACGTACTACACACACGCAACATGCCGTGCGCCAATGAGAGTTGTGCAAACTGCCGGATGTGGAACTGCGGGAACCCCAGGGGCATGTGTGCCATGGTGGCTGCGATGGACGCCGGCACCTTATGTGTGGGGAGGTGGAGGTTCTCGATGGCATCGAGATGCACCGCACCGGCCACGAGTGTGCATCCAAGAACATGCAGGCTTCCCCACCCGTCTCGAATCCACTAAATGAACAAGAGAAATAGAGGTAGATGGGGCGTGAGAAGTTGGCAGTGCGAAGGGGGGGGAAGTGATGGCGCCGCCGCCCTACTTTCGTCGCATTTTGGATCGCTTGAAGAGTGTGAGGGGTCGTGGACTAAGCGCGGCAGCGTACCATCTTGGCAAGGCAAAGATGCTCTCCATCGAAGCACACTACGCGAAACCAGCGCGACAGGTGGACATCAGAGACATGTTTAGTTCAACATGATCGGTAACACGCGACAGTAGCAGAACGAAGTCACTATTAATAGCAGCGCGAGGATCTTTGCCACTTGGGCGTTCACGAACTCTCTCCATGCCATGCAGGGGTATTTTATTGTTGTGTTTTGGGGGACGTTGCCATAACTTTTCCCCTTCTACCCGCCTTTGTTTTTTTCATAACTTGCAGATCGGACTTTTTGCGTGCGTTTTTTTTATCTATGTACATGTAGGGACAGATTATTCTGCATGCGGGAACATAAAGAAGACAAAGGGCACCCTCCGTACACTTGTTGAGACATTCCTACAAACTTCGGAGGGTATAACAAGCTTGCTGGTTGACTACAATGAATACCGTAGAGGAACTACTCCCCGGTTGTCGACCCAAAGGTGCTTCTTCTTTCCTCTACCTTCATGTGACTGCTGCAATACGACGCATACATAACCGGTCAAGAATATTTCTGCAACAAGGCCTCTCTAGTCCCACGAAATGGTTCTATTTCCCGGTTTAGCCACCGCTAGTTGCTTATGAGGGTCCCGGTCAAGCGACCAATGGTCGCTAAACCGGGCTTAGCGACATGCCCTGAATAGCGACCATATTTCGCCGTGACACTAGGGGTCGCTAAACCGAGGGCCCCACTGTACTCCAAACTGGCAGCTCGTGTTAGTATGGATCTAAAAGATTAATACTGAAGCGGACCCAAAAAAAACAAAAGTAAACACATAAATACTGCAACAGGACAGAACTAGAGACAAAACCATACGATCAGCATCGCCGGCGAAATATCCTACGCAGGAAGTATACATAACCTACACAAATAGAGCTCATCGAAGTAACAGCACAACCTTCTATACGATTAGACCGAGCACCTGGATCCCAGAACAGCAGGGACGAAACGCAACGTACAACACACACACACCAGTTCGGCCGGATTTTCGGCAACGCACTCCATCGGTACAGACGGGAACCGACCCATTGCTGACCGCGGCACAAACCACCACGTTTCTTTGACACCAGCCCATCAACCGCCTACGTTCGATAGAAAAACTCGTTGTCACACGTACGAATCTCCAGCCACCTACCGCTCCCGTGACGGAACCATAGCGGACAGCGTTCCTGGATAACAAGGGGCGAACCTTCATGCTCGTTCCTCTCGAATAAACATCTCGGTATGCCAACGGTGGTCAATATGCTCAAGTCTAGGTGAAAGTCGAAACAACACATTTGTCCAAGATAAGAACTACAACTCTTGACGATGCGCAGGTCGACGACAACGCATCGGACCCCGAAGCGGTCAGCTTGTTCTCGTCCATTTAGATTCGACCTATACGACGCGCAAGATGTCACACCCACACACAATATCACACATGGTGTTAAGATCTTTACGGGTCAACATGCCCAAGAGATAAAATTACACGCGGAGCACGAACCGTTCAAATGTCTTCGTTTCACAGGAAGAATCCCCTACCGAGCTCAAACCTTCACTACCTTTCACCAGGGAGACGGCTACTACACCCCACAAGGATTGCACACTTGCCATGATAATTTGATGCGCCTGGAATGTAGCACTCGAATGTTGTATACATACAGAACGAAACTACTCTCCCTAATTTGATTTCGTGGATACTGGATGAAAACGTGCGCTGCGCTGGGAATGTTACACCGGCACAAAACAAGCCATTCGTTTGAACACACGCTGAACGACATCGCGGAATCACCTCGAAAACCCTCTGAACCTTTCACAACAGGCTTCTTCCACCACGTGTCACAGATCGCAGCGAATTTGGCCACAAGACTCCGGCGATAGACTGATTGAAGCGGTCCCCGAACGATATTTTCTGCAGGGAAGACGGCCACACAACTCCGGCAATGGGTTGATCGAACTTGCGCCCGAACGAAAGATGCCGCAGGGAGGACGGCCACACTAATTCGGCAATTGACTGATTGAATCTTGACCCGAACGAAAGCTGCTGCAGGGAGGAAAGCCACGCGGGTCCGGCGACAGGCTGATCGAAGAGTCTCCCGACTGATAGCTCCTGCAGGTTGGACGGCCACACGACTCCGGCAATGGGCTGATTTGAAATATAACCCGAACGATAGTTGTTGCAGAGACGCCGGCCACACGACTCCGGCGATAGGCTTATTGAATCTTGACCCGAACGATAGCTGCTGCAGGGAAACCAGCCACACAACCCCGGAAATAGGCTGATTGAAGTCGTGCCCGAACGATAACTCTTGCAGGGAGGACGGCCAAACGACTCCGGCAATGGGCTGATTGAAATATAACCCGAACGATAGTTGTTGCAGGGACGCCGGTCACACGACTCCGGCGATAGGCTAATGAATCCATGACCCAAACGATAGCTGCTGCAGGGAAACCGGCCACACAACCCCGGAAATAGGCTGATTGAACTCGTGCCCGAACGATAGCTGTTGCAGGGAGGACGGCCACAACACTCCGGCGATAGGGTGATTGAAGTCGTGCCCGAACGATAACTCTTGCAGGGACGCTGGCCAAGCGATTCCGCCGATAGGCTGATTGAAGCATGCTCCGAACGATAGCTGTTTCAGGGATGCCGGCAACACCACTCCGGCGATGGGCTGATTGAAACTTGCCCTGAACGATAGCTGTTGTAGGACGCCGGCCACGCGACTCCGGCGATAGGCTGATTGAAGCAAAACCCGAACGATAACTGTTGCAGGGATGCCGGCCACGCGACTCCGCCGATAGGCTGATCGAAGCATCCTCCGAACGATAGCTGTTGCAAAGACGCCGGCTACATGACTCCGGCAATAGCCTGACTGAATCTTTTCCCGAACGAAAGCTGTTGTAGGGACGCCGGCCACGCGACTCCGGCGATAGGCTTATTGAAGCAGAACCCGAACGATAATCGTTGCAGGGACGCCGGCAAAACCACTGCGGCAATAGGCTGATTGAAGCCATCTCCGAACGATAACTGTTGCAGCGAGGGCGGCCACATGACTTCGGCAATAGCCTGATTGAATCTTTTCCCGAACGATAGGTGTTGCAGGGAGGACGGCCATGCGACACCGGCAATCGGCTGATTGAAGTTTGACCCGAACGATAGCTGTTGCAAGTGTGCCGGCCACACACGTTGTCTGTTGGAATAGCCGAATCTGTTTGCAACACCAACTCTCTCAGCCCTCGGGGCCAAGCCACTTCCGATCCTAGGCTAGACACTGACCACTATCCCTGCAGCTCAAGACGTTGTGACCACGTCCACAGCTCCATGGCGGCTTTCCTCAGCAGATCTTCCATGGATAAGGCCCAAATCAAACGAAGAGCCCGCACGACCGGCACACGGTTAGAGATACGACGCTTCCAGCTCCGAGTGTTCGGCTGGGTCTGTGTTGTGCGAGAAGTCCACAAGCTTTGAAGAGTCTCACCATTTACACGTACGTGCCAGATCGACGTACTTCGGCACGCCCTACACATGTCCAGCGAGGTCAGCTGCAGCTCCAGCGTCGACTCATACCAGCGTTTCTCCCCTCCCTCGCACGCTTGGCTCAAGGCAACGACGAAGGCATCGAGGCACCGGGTGCGCCCTGGCAACAATGCCCATACGATGTTTCAGCAGGAATGCCAGGACACATTTGGTGGAAACCCGTTTTGATACGAAAACGAGCGATTTCAATAGGGGCAGGGGCAAACATGGGACGGGAACGGCTACCCTACTCCCACATGTCACGAAAACACCTCATTTGTTCCAGCAACCAGTCTACGGCAGCCGGATCGAATCAGCAGAGACACCAAAACTTTGCGGGTAGTGATGTAGTATGGACATCTTCTTGACGTGGCGGGGAGAGGGATCTTTCCCTTGGGGGGTATAAATTGCAAGGGAAAAAACGGTCAACATCTCTTGTCAAGACACACGAGAGAGCCCCCCGGGTTCCACCAGGCTGTGTGCTCAAGCGCCCGATATCACCGGCCTTCTAGGCTCCAACCAGGCCGTTTTGGCCGACGATGATCGTATTTCGACTTGTGTGAACAATGAGTAGGAATCACAACTTCAACCCTGGTTTCGTGGCACTCAAGAAACAACTGTATGACGTGGCACTATGTTGAGCCGCGGAGCGCGAAGAGCGACCTTTTTTCCCTTCATCTCCAGGAGGGAAAAACGGCTCCAAACATCGGGCTCTTCAAACCATGGAGGGACCCTTCTGCAATTTTCACCTAGGGATGGACCGTCAAAATATTATCGCCTTTGTTCGACCAGAACAAGCGACATAGACCACCGACTTACGATCTGCTGGCTTGTGAGGAGGGAGCCAATTGGGGCACTTCGTCGCAACGGTTTGGTCGCGCGCCGACAGCAGATGGCCGAGCTTGACAGGCACTTGTTCCCAATATCAAACGGTATTTTGACCCTACTCCCCGGGAGTTGGACGGGAGGTAATGGACGAAAACGCGGAGATCTTCCATCCACACAACACACACACGTACAGGTGGCTCGGTCCAGTAGGGGTCACAGTGGAATCGCTCAGCTAGACACGCAACGCCGCTGGGGGGGGTACGACAGCACAGGGAGGCGAGGGAAGGCAGCCGCACACACAACCTGTGGCGGATGTCATCGTCATGCTGTCGATCCGGTGTGTGGAGAGGGATATCGGTAAATATACCAAACTTGGGCCTGAGGCAAGAAAAAGAAAGGTACAAACTGACCCCACCAGACAGACGCGGCGGGGTTTTTCTGCAGGCTGTCCCAGACTCTCGCGCCCGCAATGAGCGTACCACAGCCTCCTGGTATGTGTTCACCACCACGCAAGACTAAGCATGGACACAGCTCGTGGCGGATGCCTTTATTATTGCTGTTGCTTCGGTGTGTGGGGCGGCGTCAACTGGAAAAAGGACTATTCCAAGGGCCAAACAATGCCCAAACAAGAAAGAGTCTTTGTGGTGCCAGGCGTCAGGGTATTACCGGTGTTACTATCACATGCATGCACTGCCGAATACACGGCCGAATGAGGAGTAAGATAGATGGGAGCCATTGCCACTAAAGCAGCAGCAGCAGCAGCAGCAGCAGCAGCAGCAGCAGCAGCACTACAAGTGCATTCGCGTAAGCTACCACTGTTCATTTGTGCCGATCGTTCGGCGGTACTGCTGTAGTAGCAGAGGCGTGTGTTCCTCCGCCGTTGCTGTGTAATAGTTCAACAAACTTTCAGCGGGAGCGGGTACAAGGTCTTCGAAGATCTGTCTATATGCAAGGGTTTTGGCGGCTTCACCGCCACGCTGAGTGAACCGAGTCACAAGACGAATGAACGAATGGAATTGGTGTTGGAATGTTGAGATTGTCGTTAAAATCGATTTCGTTGTGTCTCGTCGTGTTTACCTAGAAACAAAGAGAGCGCTGACAAAAGCGACCGACAACGAGGAAACTCCAAATTTTCAGAGATCGTTCAGAAATGCACTGCTGGTAGTTTTTGCAATGGTTACTCCTGAACGAAACAGAAACAGCGTACAAAAATAGTACATTCGATACTGAACGTTTAGATGCGTCCAATTGGATGCGTCCAAGGGTGTGTCGAGTCAAGCATTTCAAACGCCGTCCTCAGAGCAAGTTGAGAACGCATTCAAACTCGGTTGGTGAGTACGGCTGAGTAGTTTTAAAATACATACTATACCGCTTTAGTACGGATGAGTATTTTCGAAATACTTCAAGGCTTTAGTCGAAGTTGAGCATTTGTGAAATACTTCTTCAAGGATACACTCAAGGTTGAGAAAATATACTCGGGTAGCTGAGTACGAATGAGCAGGTTTGAAGTGCTTACTCGATCTTCCGAGTATCGATGAGTATTCTTGAGACACTTACTCAACAATCCGAGTACGGATGAGTGTTTTTGGAATACTTACTCGACGGCTTTGGTATTTAGTTGAGAATAAACTCAAGGATGAGTAAAATACTCAAGCATCTGAGTACGCATGAGAAATCACTTTGAGTTATTCGTCGCACTACTTGAAACAGAGTAGGTGAAGATCTTTTTTCCCTTTTTGTTATTTTGCACGCTACACGTCTTTGTGTAAGACTGAATTCGATAGTGGGCTGCCCCCGACCGCCAAAACATTTGCCCAACGGAACATGTACTCTCACACTTACTTGAGCAATGTTCGTAATCGGATGAGTGTGGTAGGGAATTCTAGGCAGACATGCGGAGCGCACGATTACGAACACAGAGCGGCAACCAACGATAAGTCACAGTCGCTGTATAGCACACACATCTATCTATTGTGGCGTGAGTACACGGCAGATCAGTGTGGACCTCCGTTGAAGCTCTCACATGTGTTATTGGGGTTGCGGCGTTAGGTCGCACGCGTGGGCAAGTTCGCGAGTGTGGGGTTTGGTCAAAATCCATGAAAACTTGTGTGACAGCCGCGTGTGCACACTAGCACCCGAAGCACAGGATTGGCAGTACACAGAACTGCTGTGTCTCCGCGATGTAAACTGTAAACAGCAGCCAACACCCTCGACACGTCTGTATACATGGGCTCTGCGGGAGGTCACCCCACATTCCCAGGACGTTCTCCCGGCCATACAACGGGTACGGAGGGCCGTCAAGCCGTGAAGATGCACACATATCGTTTGCAGCTTGCTGCTTCAGCAGCGGAGAGAACTTGCCTTCCCCTGCTACGTGTCAACAGAGCAGACAGCACCGACCGCTGTTATTACGCAATACACCGTGCCTCACCTTTCCGTTCTAATGTTTTTGCCTACAACAGCTACGTTTGCTTCATGAACTTGCTTCGACGAACACCATACCTAACATTGACGCACGTTTACTCGCGGCCGGTGTGCTGTGCGCAAGCCGGTTTCTCAGCGGACCCGCGCAGTTTTTTCCACGAATTTCTTCATACGGAACCAACGGAACAGGAAAAAAGGTGTTGTGATCATTTCTGTTGTAACTTGTCTAACCGCCATACGAACGATGGGAAGGATCTTGTTACTCGACGTCAAGCCACAAATTCTTCAATTCACACTCTAGACAGTCAGAGAACTGAACATTGGGTCCCGCGTATCACATTCCTTTCATCACCGCCCGCCAGGGCGCTAGCTTCAAGTGAATCTTTGCGGCACCACTCGCGGCGTAGATAATCCAGCTATCTTCGCCGTGCTGTTTGGTTTCTTCTTCTGCATCATTGTATCGGATCCTGCAGCCTCCACGCCGTTATCGGAAGGTTCTTACAGTAAATAGCATCTCCACAAAAATCTCTTTTGGGGCAAGCCTTCATCACCTTCACATACAGGTACCCGTGAGTCTCACCACACATCACGCGGTGCCACACCTTTCTACTCTCACCCGCGGACAGGAACAAATTCTCGTCAGGTTTCCAACTTCTTCGCCGTCTTCATTTTTTTCTCCCCTTTCACCGTCGTCGTCGATTACTCTCGCTTGCGATTCGGGCCCCCGCGCCCCCAGTGGGCGCGCGGGGCTTTCAGTACCCTAGTTTTAAAATACTTACTCAACCTCCTGACCATCGATGATTTTGAAGTACTTTCTCAAACTGTTGAGATCGCTTGTATTTTTGAAATACTCAACCTCCTCAGTATGGTTGTATTCCTGAAGTACTTAGTCTTCGACTACGAGTATAGTCAGCACTCTACCCCATACTCATATCCGGTGAATTCCCCCCGTGACAAAAATATGACAATGACGTGAGTAGAGCGGGGCATTTTCTGCGGGTCTTGCGTGCACCACCGCCACACCATCTCTGCTGCTGCACATCATCACTCGCGACAAAGTAAAGCGATACTCACAACTAGAATACTCTTACTCGTCGGGTAGGGGTAGTGGCGAAGTTCATGCGCGACGAAGCTGATACAAATACAGCGGCACCCGCCGATGCAATACGTATGGTTGAGTAAAGGTTACAATATGACGTACTTACTAAAATGCCTGAGTACGCGTGCGTTATTCTGAAATAGTCACTCACTCTCCTGCGTGTGGTGAGCATCTTTGAAATACTTACACAAACGCTTGAGTGATGAGTATTTTCGAAATACTTACTCGAAGGCTTCCGTACAAATTGCATATTGGAGTACTTACTCAAGGATATACTCAAGGTAAATATACTAGAGTAGCTGAGTACGCATGAACAGTTGTGAAATAATTTGCTCAACCTCCTCAGTACCGATGAGTATTCTTGGTAAACTTACACAACGATCAACGGATGAGTATTTTTGGAATACATACGGATGAGTATTTTCTGGATTAGATACGGATGAGTGTTTTTGTAACATATACTCGAAGGCTTTAGTATTTGTC